CTAAAAACCGCCCCTTTAAATTTAAACCTAATCAGGTGCACAAACCAAATTTAACTTTATTAAAGAAAAAACATGCTTCTATAAAAAACCCACAAACAGGGGGGGGAAAATTTGAACTCGGGGCAAATGAGTGAAAAACTCCAGCCAAGCAAAAGCCACGGACCAGCTGGCTACAAAAGAGTCATCCAACAGGTTTTTTTTTTTTATACAGCATAGGGGGGTTACCTGATCCCCTTGATTCATCTGTAAAAAACTTGCATTTGTGGCACAGGGTGGCCCGCAACATCCCTATTTATATAAATAACCAGCTGATGAATCTTATTGTAACCACGGGCCCCAAATGGCTTACATGCTGGTCTGGAGTTTTATGACTCATTTGTCCATTCAACCTCCCCCATACCAGGGTTTTTTTGCAATCGTGCTTTAATAAATTTAATAGTCATGCTTCATTACGGGAGCTACACATTGACGGGGCAAGGTCAATACTTCATGAAGTCGGGAAAAGGAAACATTCAGGACACAATTATAAACACGATTGTGTGTGAGATGGGGTACAACCCAGCACTATACAAATACAAATCAAATACAGGGCCCCCCGGGTTTTAACGTATTTTTTCATTCCAGAAGTATTCGGTCCCCGTACTGACCGAATTTGTTCCCAAAAAGGGAAAATTTGTGAGTAGATTAGCCATTTCAACCCCAACTACACTACAAATGCACTTACATAAATTACTTACATAATCCAGCAGGCCGCTGAGCGTGTTTGATAGGATAATGGGGACAAATGTTTTTAAACTTGACGGGCTGGGAGTGTGAGCAAAGAAAATTATGAAGGGGTTTAGGGAAAAACCCGGGAGGCCGGACTTTAGTCCTGGAGATGGGAATAAGGGAGAAGGGGGGGGGGGGGGGGTTTAAGTTGGTTTAAAAATGTAGTGGGGGGGGATTTGGAAAGGGGGGTGAATGAGGTGAAAGGGGGGGTTTTTTTTTGGGGGATTTGGGGAAAGGGGGGGGGGTGTGAAAATAAAAAAAAAAAAAAAAATTGGGCGCATTTGGGGGGTGACGTAAAAGCGGGGGAGTATTTTTGTATAGTATAAATAGAGATATACACATTATAAATGTTAAGCACAAAGAAAAACCCTAGCGTACCCGACATTTTTTGGGAAACTAATCCTAATGACTACAACAAACCCAAAAATAGACACAGACCAATGGGGGTTAGAAGACACTGTGAAAGAAGTTGTCGACAGTTTTACAGGATTTGCAAATAAACCTCTCAAATTTCTGAGCTGAAACAACAAAAATTTGGTTTAAAGGGTTTTTAAGATTTAAACTAAGGAAGAAAAGAAGTCATTTAAAATTTATAAAGAAAAAAAGGGCACAGTACAGTGAACGGGAAAAAAACACCAATACCCCACGAGGGAAAAAGGAACTTATGACACTCATCAGAGTTCTTTTCTCCTAGGCAGGGTTTTTTGTTTTAAATTTTATAAAATTTAATGTCCACACGCTTCTGGGAAGATGCTACGAAAATAACAGATGTGTTTTTTTTTTTTGTTTGGGTCACACAACCTTGGGGGGGGAGGGGCCCTAGTTAAAAAATGTTGGATTTTTAGCGGTTTGGACTTTAAAAGGTTATTCAGCCCTTTTAGATTTATAAAAGGACATCAGGGATGCTCAGGCTCCATTAGAAGGAAATGACTGTGAAGGAATCTGGGGATAAAGTTAAACACACAGTTGAAAGATGATGATGATTTTAGGAAAGTGCATGAGATAACCTCAAAGAGTATGATTAATTTATTCTCAACAACTCACAAGCTGCCTCAGGCAAAAACAGAATATACAACAGAATGTTTGTCTTGTCAAGTAGAGCAGTATGTATGCAAACTGAGGCCTAAAGAGAAATCAGTGTGTGTGCTACCTGGAGTTCCTGGAGGTTTTTCCCGGGGGAAAACGCCCCCCGGCCCGGCCCCATGACCAGGCCCCCCCAAAGGATAGGGCCGATCAACTAGGCTGTTACTGCGGCCGCACGCATCCGACGTACGAGCCACACCCGGGCGACCCGGGCACTGACTTGGGTATCGTCCCCTCTTTTAAAAAGGCAGCCAGGGGTTTTTTTGGAAATTCCCCTAATGTTTGATGGGGGGCTGTTAAAACTTTTTTGGCCCCGGGACACTTAGGTTTTTTTCCTCTTAGTGTCCCAAGGCCCCCTATTTTTATTGGGGGCTTTTTTGCATCGCCTGCCCAGTCTTTTATTTCAGGATAAATTTCTGTGGAAATTTTGGGGACCATTCCCTTCCCAAAGATTTTCCAAGTGTAATTAGATATATTCTCCCTCCTCTTTCCAACGAGTACAAGTCAAGTTTTTCCAAACGTTCCAGTAGTTAAGGTGCTTGACAGAACTTATACGTGCAGAAAAGGGCTCTGTACACCTCTGTCGCGATTCACCCTTGTAGGAGATTTAATGTACACAGTATTTCCCGCCTAGAGAAACAAGTGATTTTAAAAGGGTCATCATGGGCTTGGCACCTCGTTTTGAAAGTTTTCCATTATCCACCAAAATTTTCTTTGCCGTGCGATCTGACTGTTGTGACCCTTTAAAAGTGAGATCCTCAAACATTACTACTCCCAGGCCCCTTACATTATTTTTTCCGCTCTTTTGTATGGCCGGAGGTAGTATCTCTGTTCATTATTATCTCCTCCTTTTTTCCATAACGAGATTTGGAATTTGTCCTCATTGAACATATATTGTTTCCCTTTTCCCCAGGAAAACGTTAATTTTCTTGGGTTAACCGTGCCTCCAATTACACCTATGCAGATCCAGACACCCCAAAAGATGAACGGTTCGTGGGATATCTCTGTTTATTCTGATATGGGATAAGGAATAAATGGGGGCGGTACTGTGCCTTGTGGAAACGAGCTTTTCACAGGCAGCCCCATTTAACTCTGTTGACCACTACTTTTGTGTTCGTTTGTAGGAATTTGAAACCATCTCCCCACTTTCCCAGTTTTTCCCTTTTAAAACGTTTTTTTAGGGGCTATTACCCATATCCATTTGTCAAATCTTTTGCAAATCGTGTATATTACATCTGCTTCTGATTTTTTTTCCAGTTCATCCAAGGCCGTCATGGATCCAGTAGTTGTGAAGGCGGGACGACCTGCCCTGAACCCATGTTGCCCGGGATTGTGGAGTTTTTTGGGAATCCAGGTGATTTGCAATCCTGCTTTTTAGCCTCTTTCAAAGATTTTTATGATGGGGTGCGGGCTAGGGGTCTAAGTTTTAGCTAAGCTTTGCTGCCACCTTTAGGAGTGGGGCTATATCCTTGTTTTAAGGACTGTGGAATTTCACCCATGCCAAGCTCCTCCTCCAAGTGTATTAGGCACGGAGGGGGTTTCTTCAGTTTAATGAAAACAGAGTTCCACGAGTCTGGGCCCGGGGCTGAGGCATGGGCATTTTGTCAATGGCTTTTTCGAAATCTTGGGAGTTAGGGAATGTCGAAAATCTGGCATACATTTTGGAGTTTGAGGCTCATTCATGAAGAAATCTTTGGGTCGTCGATCCCAACCGATTTGTGGTTCACTAAACACAGAGTCGACTGGGGTTTTAATATTTCACTCATTTCCCTTTTGTCGTCTGGTAATCCCCCCCTTCTGAGTAAGGGCCCGATACTAGAAAGTTGATTTTTCCTGTTTTTGGCAATGAAAAGAAATAAATTTTGATTTCTTTCAATTTACTAAAACTTTTAAGCTCCTCCGCCTCCCGGTTTCCCGAAGGTCACTTGCTTAAGTTTTGTAGTTTCCACTTCCCGGTCAGCGCCCCCTTTCGTGTATCAGAATTCACACTTCTGAGAGCTCATGCTTTCGCGTCTTTTGTAAGGGGGGGTCTTTTCCTCCATTTTTTCTCCTGCTCTTCTTCTTTTTTTAGGGGGAAAAGCCTGAACATGCTTTGGGTACCAGGGAAATTACCCCTTTAAGGCACTGGTTTGGATCCATTCATTTAAGACATCTTCCCAACATGTTTTTGTTTTGGGCATGGTTTACCGGTCCCAGTTGATGTTCTTGTTGTTGAAATTGTATTTTTTTGGGAAGACACCTTCACAGGTACAGCATTCTGTTGTTCAACCCTAGCATTATTCTGGACTTTATTAGTTGTGATCGGGAAATTTGTTTTTTTTTGATATTCTTATGTCTCTTACAGGTCCCCATTATTTGTGAAATAAGGCAATGTGTTTCTAGTCTTGTTTTGGGTCCACTATCGGGGCTGGTTAAAGGGGTTTTTTTTCGCAGGACTTAGTAGCTCATGTGTGTGTGACCTACAAGCACTGGAAATTTAAAAAAAAAATATGTGCAATAAAATTATTTATGAAAACAGGATACCAGGAGCTTTAATCTATTCCCGTAACACTGAATGACTCGTACAGGTTTAGTGCTTTATTTGAATACAACAGTCCAGTCCTGTAACTAAAAATTTTCTTTTTAAAACTGGCCATCTCCGTCTCCCACTGAGGCAGGGTGACCCGAAAGAGAAACACTTTCACCATCATTCACACTATCACTGTTTTGGCAGAGGTGCATAGATGTGACAGTTCAGATGTCACTCCAAACCACAAATATAGCAAACCCCTCCTTCAGAGTGCAGGCACTGTGCTTCCCACCTCCAGGACTCATCTCCAGCTATCCAATTTCTCAAAATCCCTTCACAAAATGTTACCTTGCACACACTCCAACAGCTCATCAGGTCCCAAAAACTAAAAGTACACGTAACTAAAAAAAACGGTAATTAAAAATAGGTAATTACATTCAGTGTCTCACAGCTGGGAATGCAAAGCAGCTAAGGTACTACCAGGAGGCATCATTCATTACTTGACAGATTAATACAGCATAATCTTGCTTCGAAGATAGAAAAGAAGCTACAAAAAAAGAAGTGCAGAAAGTTTAAAGCTAAACAAGAACTCTTGTACTGAAAAAAAAAAAAAAAAAAAAAAAAAAGTGAGGATACAAACTTGAGAGCAAGGATGCCCTGGAGCGACAATGTTAACTGAGGTCGACCTGAAGTAGTCTGGCCCGTTGATCTTCACATCCTGTACACACAAGTTCAGCAAAAAATAACTGTCAACTTAACATTACTTTAGTGAAATTTAAAGCTTCTAGTGTCACTTAAAATAACATCGTTCTCCAGACACATTCAGAAATTTTAAATTTCTCAGTAATTATCAATTAATAAATACATTATCATTTTTAAGAGCGCTTTTCTGGACCAATATCAGTTTTGTTTCTAAAAAATCCCAAACATTTTTAAAACTGAAACATGATACATTTAAAATTGAATAGCAATTTTGTGTAAGGAATACCAGGACCATATTATCCACGCAACTGAAATTCCTGACTTATACTGTGGCTATATCAGCACAGCTCTGGACTCACAACAGCGAGGACACCAGTTCGGTTCCCTGTACTCCTTACATAATTTCATACTTCACAATTTGGCTAGATTCTCATATCATTGAATAACAAAACTTGGACAATCAAAGAAATCAATTTCAATTTCATGCTCCATATATTCAAATGACCACAACTACCTTTTATAAGCACTACAGCATCAACAAAAATACCAGACATATTATAAACTACTAAGACACAATACCTACAATGCAAGAACAAGCAGAAATCATAGGCTTTAATCATTTCAATATAATATCATGCACTACTCCTTTCATAATTACGATGTGTCTACATATTGTATTATATTCATAGGGAAGCACTAAATCCATAAGGGTCATACAGCATCGTGGAAATAGGAGGTAATGAGGTTTTATACCAGGAACAGTCTTTCCCTATCATCAAGGAACACCCTTTGAGGGAGCCTACCTTGCAAGGTAATGTAAATACTGTACAGGGAAAATGCAAATTCTGCACAAGTGAATGTAAATACTGTACAAGGGAATGTAAGATACATAGCATTGGAACCAAGCTCTTTTGTTTGGACTAATCCATTTGCTCATCCAACATGGACTGACCACTTAGCACCCAAAAACTGCTATATACATTATGACTCCAGCAGCAGTGAGCGTGTTGATAGATAATGAGACAAATGGTTTTTAATATGACGTGTTGGAGTGACAAGTAACATTATGAAGGATTCAGGGAAACCGCAGGCCGACTTGAGTCCTGAGATGGAAGTACAGTGCCTGACTCTGAAGGAGGGTTAATGTTGGCAGTTTAAAAACTGTATGTTAAAGCACCTTTGCAAGACATGAATGGAGTGAATGATGTGAAAGTTTTTCTTTTTCGGCCACCCTGCCATGGTGGAATCGGCCGTGTGATAATAAAAAAATAAAAAAAAAAAAATATGGTATTAGCCCTTTCACTGTCCAAACCCCAAAATTTAAAAGTGCTCACTGTCTATATTAAAAAAAAAATCTAAAATGGTAGAGAATTTTTTTCTAAAGGTAATGACACCAAAAATACAAAATTTGATGGAAACTCATGAAGTTAGCAGTCTTGGCACAATTTTTGCATTGGTGATTTCACTGACTGAGTCCTATTTTAAGCCAATTCCACTGCTCAATTTGACCAAATTCTTAGCCAGTTCACTAGTTTGCTTTCCATTCTATTGACTGAGCACAAGAAACTGCTCATTCAACTATCAAAACTATCTTATAAAGTGAACAGAAGTTGGTAACTTGGCCAATTTTCTGCAAAATAAAAAAAAAAATCCAATTTAAAAAAGTCTAAAATAAACACTGCAGACATTTATGGCACTAAAACAACATTTCCTCTGTTTGTTAATCATGTCCCCAGGCCTCTCCTATATTACACGTGCCTTCCATTTTGAATTCATCATCACACGAAAATTCCAAAATTTACCCTATTTCTCGGACAATAAAATATAATCAGGAATGATTGGTCAAGGTTTATGGTGTCCCAACAAGTGAAACAGGATTAGTAAAAACCCATAAAACAGACCGGGGGATGTAGGGAGATCTCATCAGTCTTCAGGAAAATCAGCAGAAATTTAACATTTCCACTAATTATACACAAATAACCCGCACATAAAAGAGAAGCTTACGACGACGTTTCGGTCCGACTTGGACCATTTACAAAGTCACACTAACCAGAAGTGGAGCAGGACGGCTATATATAGGCAGGAAGAGGTGGTGGTGGGTAGTTATTCCAAAATTTGTTGCCAATTTCAAGCTACTCTGTCCAACCAACCAAAATCATCTCTGTTTCAGAAAATGTCTTCCATCTACCAAATGATACAAGAACAGCCAATAAACCAAAAAAACATCCAAGAAGACACCTCAAAATCACTATTTTAAACCAAACAATTCACTTTTGCTTTCCCATTGTGCACTGTGTAAGACAAGGTTTTTATATTGTGCACACACTCACTGCACAGACCCATTCTCATATCTAGGCCAATATTTACTGCCCACAGCTTATCTGAATGACCTGAGCTCATGATGTACAATACAGTGGACCCCCGCTTAACGATCACCTCCAAATGCGACCAATTATGTAAGTGTATTTATGTAAGTGCGTTTGTACGTGTATGTTTGGGGGTCTGAAATGGACTAATCTACTTCACAATATTCCTTATGGGAAAAAATTCGGTCAGTACTGGCACCTGAACATACTACTGGAATGAAAAAAGTTCGTTAACCGGGGGTCCACTGTATAGTTCTACATGAAAGACCCTGGCATCAATAACAGTTCTACATGAAAGACCCTGGCATCAATAACGTAGTTCTACATGAAAGACCCTGGCATCAATAACAGTTCTACATGAAAGACCCTGGCATCAATAACAGTTCTACATGAAAGACCCTGGCATCAATAACAGTTCTACATGAAAGACCCTGACATCAAAACAGTCTACATGAAAGACCCTGACATCAATAACAGTTTCTACATGAAACCTCTGAAAATCATAACAGTTCTACATGAAAGACCCTGGCATCAAAAAACATAGTTCTACAGAAAGACCCTGGCATCAATAACAGTTCTACATGAAAGACCCTGACATCAATAACAGTTCTACATGAAAGACTCTGACATCAATAACAGTTCTACATGAAAGACCCTGGCATCAATAACATAGTTCTACATGAAAGACCCTGGCATCAATAACAGTTCTACATAAAAGACCCTGACATCAATAACAGTTCTACATGAAAGACCCTGGCATCAATAACATAGTTCTACATGAAAGACCCTGACATCAATAACAGTTCTACATGAAAGACCCTGACATCAATAACATAGTTCTACATGAAAGACCCTGGCATCAATAACAGTTCTACATGAAAGACCCTGACATCAATAACAGTTCTACATGAAAGACCCTGGCATCAATAACATAGTTCTACATGAAAGACCCTGGCATCAATAACAGTTCTACATGAAAGACCCTGGCATCAATAACATAGTTCTACATGAAAGACCCTGGCATCAATAACAGTTCTACATGAAAGACCCTGACATCAATAACAGTTCTACATGAAAGACCCTGACATCAATAACATTTTCTACATAAAAAGACCCTGGCATCAATAACAGTTCTACATGAAAGACCCTGACATCAATAACAGTTCTACATGAAAGACCCTGACATCAATAACAGTTCTACATGAAAGACCCTGACATCAATAACAGTTCTACATGAAAGACCCTGGCATCAATAACATAGTTCTACATTAAAGACCCTGACATCAATGACACAGTTCTATCTGACGGGCAGTGAAAGGGTTAAAGAAAATATTTGGAAATCAGATACAATTGCTCACTTTCTTATGGTCTTAAGTTGGGTTGCAACCATTGGCTTGGGAACACTTGCTATAGCCTGGCATGGATTCCAAGTTTAAGATTTGTGCACCTCTGGCAAAACAGCAATAGTGTGAATCATGGTGAAAGTGCTTTTTTTTTGGGTCACCCTACCTCGGTGGGAGACGACCGGCGTATTAAAAACAAAAATCATGAATAGGGATAAGCACAAGGTGTATGAAATTGCATAAATTAAATAATAAGCAGAAAAAAAACAAAGAAAACTTTATCTGGATTATTAACTCCCAAGAGGAAGGATGGAAGGAGATTGACAGTGATGTCTTGCCCTACTATTTTGAAGGGTTGACCTCTTTATGTAGAATTTTCCCCAGAAATTTCATTAATCCTCAGTAGATGAAAAGATTTTAAGAAACACTTAAAATATTAGCTGATGATTCCACCAAGAAGTCTTGCAATTTAATACAGGAAGCCAATGCTACCTCCTACTTGAGACAAAGAGTGTACAAAAGATTTGAGGATATCCTCGGCAGGTAAATATAAACAAATAAATAGCAGATGGCACACCAGAGGATAAGAATGAAGGACACAAAAAGAAAATTAATATCAATAGAGAATGAAAATTATTTTTATTATTTTTTTTATTATCACACTGGCCGATTCCCACCAAGGCAGGGTGGCCCGAAAAAGAAAAACTTTCACCATCATTCACTCCATCACTGTCTTGCCAGAAGGGTGCTTTACACTACAGTTTTTAAACTGCAACATTAACACCCCTCCTTCAGAGTGCAGGCACTGTACTTCCCATCTCTAGGACTCAAGTCCGGCCTGCCGGTTTCCCTGAACCCCTTCACAAATGTTACCTTGCTCACACTCCAACAGCACGTCAAGTATTAAAAACCATTCGTCTCCATTCACTCCTATCAAACACGCTCACGCACGCCTGCTGAAAGTCCAAGCCCCTCGCACACAAAACCTCCTTTACCCCCTCCCTCCAACCTTTCCTAGGCCGACCCCTACCCCGCCTTCCTTCCACTACAGACTGATACACTCTTGAAGTCATTCTGTTTCGCTCCATTCTCTCTAAAATGTCCAACCACCTCAACAACCCTTCCTCACAATCTGGACAACAGTTTTGGTAATCCCGCACCTCCTCCTAACTTCCAAAACTACGAATTCTCTGCATTATTTTCACACCACACATTGCCCTCAGACATGACATCTCCACGGGCCTCCAGCCTTCCCCCGCTGCAACTTTCATCACCCATGCTTCACACCCATATAAGAGCGTTTGGTA